AGAAAACACTTAAATTAATACTTCTTATGTTTTCATTATTTTCTTTTGTCTTTATTTGCATATTTGATGTTGAGGTAATCCAAAACGTAAAGGAAAGTAATCAGATTACTTATTAACATGTGATACTTGGATTAAGTTCTATCTTTATGTCTCATAGTGGTTAATAAATCCACACACAACATTGTTTGTTTATTCTGCATCCTACATCCACTTAAACTTTAACAGGCTAATAGATGAGAAGATGAATTTGATGTAAAATAAAATAAATTGTATTTAATTTGAGCCCTGATGCTCCTCCGTATATTCTCCAGGCTTTAAATGACATTTAAAAGGAAAATGAAAGTTAAATATCAGCCACATTCTCTGTAAACTAACCACAGTTTCACTCGCTGGGAAAACGGTTTCATTCCCTTTTTTGTTTTCTATTTTTCTTCCTGAGAACCAAAAGAGAAACCTCCTGGAGGGTTTTCCTCCCTCTGTCACTCCAGAGCCATTAATTGAAACAGTGGCTTTTTACAGCAGAAATTGCTTTCCCGGGGCGCTGATTGATTTCGTTGACAAATGACATGTTACACCGTCAGCTGGGTAACGCAGCCCCGGGAGTACGAGGGGAGAAAACAGCGGTTCGGAGAGAAATATGAGGTCTTCAGCAGCACTTTGTCAGCTCTCTCATCTAACCGCTAATTCCATTTCTCACCTTCAGGGGAATCCGTTTATCAATAACCCCCCCCCCCCACCACCACACACACACACACACACACACACACACACACACACACACACACACACACCGTCACTTTGTCCCCCCCACTGCTTTCTAACACACACGCCTCCAAATCTGACACAAACTGTAGTAGCTGCTGTGAAGATTGATCGGTTAAATGAGCGATCGTTCGGTCGCTCTGTTGTTTTCCGTCTTGATTACATCAGTGGGGTAATTTCATTGATTAGTTTGATGGTATTGATTGCCTTTTCCTGCAGGTTGGCTCCGTCCCAGCCGGTGGAGACGCCTCCTGTCAACCACTGCCAGCCCGTCGCCGTGGATCCAGGTAATCAAAAGTCACGTTACACATGATTTATCTCCAGTAATTAATGCTAATGAGCTGCTAGGTTGAGAGTAAAGGAGGAAACCCTCTTCTGCACTCGTAAACATCTTCAGTTTGTGGCGCTCAGTGTTTAGTTTGTGTTTTAAAGTCACATTGTTCCCATATATTCCCGTATTTTTATATTCAATCCAATCTTTGTGTCTTCCTGTAAAACTAAATGTGACGCGTGCTTACGTCAGCATGAACTAACTGATTCCAACCAATAATATCCTGACATTCACTCGTCAATCAATCTTCAACTTTTAGCCACACAGAGGGAAGATTCATTAGTTAGCTAGCTAGCGTAGTATATTCTTATTGTAATTAATAATTGGTGATTAACTAAAAAGGTGAAATATCAGAAGATTAAATAGGAAATTAGGAGGAATAATTACACAGATGACAGTAAAAAATGAAAACTCAGGAAACAAATTCTTTTGCAAATAGGTGTCCTATATTATTAAATAAATCACATTATTATTATTATTATTATTATTATTATTAGCTCGCCATCTTGTCCTCTTTCAAAACCTGGCTTATATAAACAGACAGATCGATAAGTGCTTCTAACAATTAATGATTATGATAGTGTAAATACTAATATACTTTAAAAAAAACAATGCATTGAGGCACTATGAATACTTACAGTACATTGTTTACTTTCTGGATGCATTACATTCATTTATTACAATCAAAATGTCATTTATATTACCACCCCTTTTATATCACACATACATCACTACTATGCCCCCACACTGTGTATCCAACAGTTAGTTGCTTAGCAACACAATAAAACATTAAACAAAACCAATAGGCAAAATTACTGCTGCGTGATTCAACAGCATTTCTACTAATGAGTATCTTAACAGGTCTTTCTGTACAGAGCTGAGGCACAGCATGGCTAGCTACTGGAGCTCACTGATCAAACACACAACTTTATCAGAGATTTGGGGGAAACTGGATCAGATTTTATGGAGAGAATATTGTCTGGTTTTCCCTCTGACGTCCTCCAGCTGCTCTGCCTCAACTATTATTATATAACTATTATTCCCTGTCGTCAAACTGGCCTCCGTCGGCATTGGATGCCATATTCGGTCCTGATCTGGTTGTGCTGTTTACTGGGAGCTCCCAGTCCGGTAAAGTCAGCTAATAGGAGCACTGCACTGTAAAGTTATAGCATTAACCTTAAAATATATATATATAAAATATTGTTGAGGATGGATGGAATTGCACAAAGATTACAGCATGACGTAGTTGCACAATGTAATATATTTATAAGATAAAAAGATGTATATAGCATATAAAGCGTGTGTATAAAATGTGCTTATATAATATGTATAAATATAAACAACTGAAGTAAATATGATAAATAGAGCATAACATTGTAAAAACAGACACTGTTTGGCCTGTAAATTATGTATTCAGCTCATGAATCACACTCTCGCTCTCTCCTAAATGATTGCACATTATCTGGTTGTAGTAATAAAAATTATTGAGAGGTTTTGTTTTGTTTTGTTGTTTTAATCACACAGCGAGAGGAAAACTCATTTTATAGGCTGATCTCCTCGCTGATCACGAGAAGAGTATTCTCAACAGATTCCCTGCAGTTATTCGCTTTCCTGAACCAATTTCCCGTCTTTGTGCCGAGGAGATGATAATGAAGTGATACATTTATTACAGCGCTCCCAAAAACAGAGACAAGCATTTTGTGTGTCTCTGCATATTTTCACCTCGTGCTGTTGTTGCATTATCGGCAGTGTTGGGGAAGTGTTACGAGTGATTGAGTTTCTTTTATTTATGCACACAACTCTCGTGGGTGTACAAGACAACAAAGGCACAGTTGGGTTGGTCAAACATTTGATTTCAGTACAGAGTTACAGGTTATTTAACTGCTCTGCCTTTTAAATAAAATATCTGCTACATGATCCACTCAACAGAAATCAACAGTATACAAAACAGTTAATGGTATTTAAAAGTTCACCTTGTTCACACACAATTAAACCTGTCTGTGTGTCTGCTTTAAATTGGATCTTTTCTTTAAATTATTCTTCACATAAAGCTCTATTGTAACTAACTACTAATTAAACTTTAACCTTATATAATTACAGTTCGCCATAATCACCTATGCGGACAATATCTCAGCAACAACTGCACCGATTTGGACAATATATTAGTGGTTTAGGATGGATGCTGAATCCTTTTCTGAATAATACAAAATGGCCATTTAAACCAGACGTGGCCAAATCTCAACTCCTGTTTGGGCCAATTTTTTATTAATTTTGTGTCGATTTTTTAGCTTATAGATAGATATTCCTTTATTTGTCCTACAATGGAGATATATATAGAATTTATATGCTTATTAAATTGGACCTGCAATTTAGAGTAAAAGAGCTCAATGCCATGTGAATGTTCAGTGCCTGTATTATATGGACAATATTTCAGCTACTGATGGGCCGATTTGGACATAATTTGAGTGGTTTTGGGGATTATTGAGGACCATTTCTGACATTTTACAAAATACAAAATTTCCATATTTCAACTGCTGGTGGGTGGATTTTGATTCATTTTGAGCTTCATTCTGGCAAGTAGACTATAATACAAAATCAATCTAATAAATGATGTATTATTACAAATTAAGCTTCCCAATATTAAGAAAATAATTATATTTTTAATGTACTAGTGTCAGATTGGTACTCTGTATTGGCCAATACACAAAGTTCAGTTATCTGGAAGCAAAACAGTTGTATCAAAACATCTCTAATTTATCTTATTTGTATTCTTAACCAGGTAATCAGAAAAATGCTGAATATCCAATAATCAGTCAGGTCGATAGTCAGTCTCCCTTCTTGTAAATTCACTGAAACCCGAAACACCAGACGTCATGAATTAAAGAGTTGTGTACAAGTATGAAATCCCAGATTAACTTTTTATGTAAACTTTTTCAGACCGAAACTAGAAACACATTCAGATCAGTGACTGAAAGAGGCTTTAGGGCCTTTTGGCAACACACATCCAACATGTGGGGAATGAAAGTGGAGCTGACGATACAACAATGTGTTATTAAAGAACACAAAGAGCAGCTACAACAAGATGCAACTTGTGGCTACAGTTTGCACTGCGGCCTGAGGTTTGGTCTTTTATATATATACAACAAAAACCTGTTTCCCTGTGTGCTTATTGAATGCTACTGCAAAGGAAATCCTCATCTATCACCAGTGCATTAGAGAGCTGAAACATTTCTCTGCTATCAGATTTTTCTGTAGCTGCACTGGAACTTACTATGCCTCTTTTTGGCCAGATATCAGCTGGAAGGAGAAAAATACATCCAACAACAACAGAGAGCCAGTAGCTTTTTTAACCATCGACACTTAAACATGTTTTTCAGGTTTAAACTAAATTATAGGAGTATACTGTGATGAAACACATCAATAATGGTGCTAATATTTACATTATTGTCAAATGTATTAAATGTTTACGCCCTCTAACGAGAGGAAAATAGCCATGAATGTGCTTCTAGTGACTGTAAAAGCTCCAGCGGGGACACAGAGAGTCTGACAGCAGCTATTTATTAGCTCTGTTAGCTCTGTTAGCTCTGACTACCAGCTCGCTGTTCCTGCTACACTGCTGTGGTCAGTCAGTCAAATACTCTGGTTTGTGTTGAGGCCACGCCCTCTAAAGTCACTGTCCTTTGCAGGTCTCTGATGCTTTTTTAAAAATTTGCTAAGATGGAGCGAGCAGGCAGAATTTAACACTAAGTTAAGACACAGCTTTACAACTAAGCCTTTAGGTTAAACATGTTTATGTAAAGCATTTATTTAGAGGTGAAAATTAATGTATACGTTGACATTTTCATTCCTGATACATCTGTAATAAGTAGGAACTAATGTGCTCTAACACAGCATGTTATTTGTGCCGTCTGCATCATATTACAATGCAAATAAGTGGCTAATATATCAGGATTTACCAGGTGTGGTTTTCATTGCTCAGTGGAGCTTGTGGTAAAGCTGCAGAAACCTGCACTGAATGCCAAAATTTCAGTAAGAGTAAAATATCTTAACTGATTGGATTAAAACCAGAAATGTAAAAAAAAAAAAAAAAAACCTTCATTTTTTTAAGTTTTGATACTTTTAAACAGCCAGACTGGAAGATACATGTTTGCATACAGATCCAAAGCTAACGCTGTATGCAGGAGCACAAAGAGAGCACTGGGCGAAGGAGACCCTTGCCCTCTTTTCCAAGTTCCCTGTTTAAAAACCACCCACTCTCTCATGCATATTCATCCCCTCACCTAATTACTATTCACCCCTAGCGGTGCGGTTCCAGGTGCCGGCGGTAGTCGGGGGCTGCAGGAAGGGCGGCGTGCAGCAATGTTGTGTTGACCCCAATTCATCTCCGAGGGGGGGGGGTCTTGGCCCAGTTTGACTCTGTGTTCACCTGTGTGAAATGTTTAGAGTCACTGCTGATGTAAAAGAATATGGAAGATAAACAGTAACAATTAACAACAATGAAACAGGTTATTAAATAGCGATTCACAGCTGATTATACACTAATAAAAACATATCTATAAATATATTATTATACAATTCCCGTATTTATTCCATATATTTGCTGTATATAATATGTTTATAAAGGGGGAAAAAGAAATGAAATGTACTTTAATTGAATGAATGAACCGATCTCTGCTGTACTGCAAAAACAGAACCTCTAGAAACAAATATTCTTAAATATATAAATAAGTCTACTGAAAGACTATTATCGGCCTTAAAACTAGAAAAAAAGAAGAATGTAAGTAAGTTGTTCTTATTAGAAGCAATGAAAACTCAGTTATTTAAGGTTCTTAAACGATTAAAATCAACAAAAACGATAAGACATTTCTTCTAACTTTATCTTGAATGAAGGCACCAGAAGCATTATTATTTTTTATTAAATCAATGAAAACTGCAGGAAGAAAACATTAGATAATCTATATCAACCTTTAGCTAGCTAGTTATTTAGCGTTTTGCTACAGCCCAAACCGATAGCTAACTAATGAGCTAATCTACATTAATACATATTTTTTGATTGTTTTGTTTTTGTTTGATTTCTTTTTCTTCTCTTAGTTACTGAATGGTTCAGATTATGTTTGTATGTCTGTGTTCATTCATCTTAAAGTCTCCCTAAAAGACAATAACAAGACACTGCATGCACTGGGTTTTCACAATATCACAACATACTTACTAATGCTTACATGAAAATACTGTATTTTTACAGTAATATTATGACTGGTTGCTGTAGAAACACATGCTACTGTGATTTTACTGCAATTATTAGCCTGTAATTTACTGTAAAAGTACAATAATATAGTTTACAGTGTTTCCTTCTGTCTCAGGCTCCGCCAACGGCAGATACGGCTGCTCCAAGATCTTCGTCAATCACCGCTGTTTCTCAGGACCTTACCTCAACAAGGGACGCATTGCGGAGCTGCCGCAGGCCGTCGGACCCGGGAAATGCACGCTGGTCCTCAAGGAGGTGGGCTGATGTTGGGAGCAGTGGGGGGGGCGGAGAGGAGCAGGTTTAATCAAAGAGTTGCACACTTTCAAAAGCAAGAGGAGGGAGGAGGAGGTGAAAGATGGAGGGGGTGACACGGCGATGTCTTGTTAACCACCTGCAGTTTCCCAGCAGTGCCTTCGTTTTAATGTGAGGAGCTGTCAGTCAAGTGTGTTTACATGTACACACCGCCACCGCCGCTTGGCGAAACAGCCTCTTAATTTCTCCAGAGACCGTGATTGTGTGTGCACATGTGCACACGAGTGTAATCCGCATTTTGTTTTCCAGGTTTTGTTCCTTCATGTTTTGTGCAGTCGCTCTGATAGTTCTGATAGTCTTTTTTCTTCATCGGAAGTGTTTCTTCTCGCCTCCAGCTGCTGAGCATGCTCATCAACGCCGCCTACAAGCCTGGACGAGTCCTGAAGGAGCTACAGGAGCTGGAGGATCAGAGCTGGGACTGCCACGAGGAGACCCTCAAAGCCAAGTGAGGAAAGCAAGGAGCAGGAGTTTAAATCATAAAATTACAGTATGAAGAGTTCCTAATAACCAACTATCCTCACATCTTCCCCTAATGAATTCAGCAGAGGGCTTCAAAACGGACTCATGTGGACTCAGGAGTCCGTTTTGCGGCCCTCCGTTGATGCTGCTGCAGCGGTACGTGTGAGGTCTGTATTTCCCCTCCACTGCTGGCTGCACGGAGCCAAATTATTCCACAGCTTCAGGCTGGGTGCGCTTTCTAATCAAAAACTGACCCATTTTTTTCCGGCAGAAACAAACAAGGAAGAATCGGTCAGTCGCAGGTTTTCCAGTGAGTCACCTGCACTGTGATTTTTATTTTTCTGTAGCGTTTACTGCGTTTAAGTACACAATTCAGTTTAATGAATCAACAACAAAACCTTACTATCAGCATGGACAAACAGACGCTACACTGTTTTATTTTGGTGATTTTCTAAGGAATTTCAACCTGATTTGTTTCTTGTGACATTCATTTTTTTCACCACAGGTCCTAGTAACAGAGACCGGAGCCCGGTTTGGGTCTAAATGTTATTTAGTGCAATCAGTTCGGATAAGGTGCCATATTTAAGCATTTGTGTGTTGTAGTATGGGCAAACGGATTCAAGGCAGGCCGCTGTTAATTATCACCAAAGAACAAATGTGTCCTATAGGGCGACTTTACATTGATTCTTAGGACTTTAATCAATCAAACTTTATTGATAAAGCACCTTTGAAACAAATCAAATGCAATTCAATGTGCTTTACAAGTGAGTGACAAAATGTAGGATGTTTAAGTATTTAGAGGCAAATTTACACCAAAACAACCTAAAAAAAGTGAATTAAATAATACAGCATACATAAATTACTGGCAACTTGCACCATATTTGTACATAGTGAAAGTGAAACTACACAGCAGGACGTCCCCCTGAAGAAAACTTTAAGTAAAAAATGACAAAATGTTTAAATATAGGCAATACGTTTTAACATAATGATGTCACTTCCTGTCTAGCCTTTGCATCCAAATGACAGAAAGCTGCTTTTAGTACTCGAGCCAGTCCCGCCCCTGCTACCAGGAAGCAAGAAAACATCAGCTGTGGGTCTCAACAATACAACAGTTGTTTGTTCATTTTCATTTTTGGTAACAATGTGAGAACCTCTGGTCAAACACATTGAATCCGAGCTGCCAACAGATCAGATCACCTTTCCTAACCTCAGCCATTAGAAGGGAGATTGACCTCTTGTGGGCCGCCGTCTCTATCGTTACTGCACAGACAACCAGCGCTCGCTGTCGGCTGCTTTGGTGAATTACAGATTACAGATAATTATGCTCTCATCAATAAACGTGTAATCACTGGCTGACCTGACATCCCTCCCTCCCTCCTTCTCCCTTTTCCTCCCAGATATAAAGGGAAAACCTATCGCTCCACCATCCGGATCGTCCGCCTCGCAGACCAGATCCAAGACTTCTGCCGAAAGGTGTGCGTGAAGCTTCAGTGCTGCCCGAACCTCTTCGGGCCTGTCCTCGTCACCGACAAGTGCCCAGAGAACTGCTCCGTTCAGACGAAAACCAAATACAGTGAGTGCCTGTAATTAAACGCATCACTTCCTGCACCACAGCTATGAAGAGGACCCAAATCAGAGCCTGTGTGTAATTGCCTCTGATGAGTAGCTGAGATTTGTTCTGGGTGCATTGTTTTCAACATCTGCTGTGCATCCGCAGCCTATTACTATGGGAAGAAGAGGAAGCTGTCCAAGCCGACGGGAGGAGAGGAGGCGGCGGAGGGGGAGCTGGCCAAGCCGACACGCCGCAGGAAGAAGAGGAAAGCAATCTTTGTGCAAAAGAAGAGACGCTCGTCCGCCGTGGACTTCACTCCCGCTGGCTCACCGCAGGTTAGTTAACGCTCCTTCGCTGTCGTTTTCCTTCCCTCTGTGATATTGTGCTGTCCCGTCTGCAGCTACCGAGCGTACAGTCAGAGTGGAGGTTTAAATATAAACATCCCTGTGTGTGACGGCGGCTGGAACGAGAAGAGGAGCTTCACAGGCAGGAAATTACTTCAGTTTACACAAGTTTAACAAAAGGCTCTTAATTTGAAAGAGTTCTTTAAGTTTATGTGTGATGATGTACAAAGAAAAAATGTAGTGCTTGACCAGTATGGTTATTTCAGGGTCGATACAGATATTGATTATTAGTAATCAGGGAAACTGATAACAATATTTGGAAATATTTGCAGTAAAAATATAAATCTTTACAGTACATTTACTCTAATACTGTACACTTTTCTACTTTATACTTCCACTCTACAACATTTTGGAAGCAAATTACTTTTAACTGCAATACATTTATGTGATAACTTTAGTTTATTAATACAACATATAAATCAAGTAACAAATAACAGTGTATTATAATAGATTAAGCTACCCAGCAGTATAAAGTAATACAATGAACCACCTTTACCAGCTGCAACATTACAGTGATAAACACATTAATGCATCAGTAATTATGATCCAGTAATAATGTAATTAGGGCTGCAGGATATGGTAAAAACATCATATTGCAGTTACTCTGACATATATTTTCATTTTCACTGATAAAAAACACGTTTTCTTACATCTGTAGATCATTATTTGTAGGGCAGCACATTTCTGTATTATAACATATTTATCTAAAAAAAAAAAGTCTCCCTGAATGTTCTTCACATTTGTCTTTACTTTAAAAAATAAGAGACTCTAGCAGAGCTCAATGAATCTGGGTATTTTACCAACCTAGAACCAACTACTGGAACCCAACCCTCAATAACAAACTTATCTAACACCTCATCTCAACTCTCAGACCTTGCCTTCAGTGGAAATGTGAAACTCTGAGGAATATGTGACTCATGCTTCACGTCACTTACGAGGAACCTCAGACTTATCTCACCTGTTTCTGCACCGCTCACCTTTCTCACAGTCAAAGTCACATAAAGCTGGGAAACGGTCGGTGTGACCATCATCAAACATTTTCTAAAAATATACAGAGAAAATATTCTGGAGACCTTGTTCATAGGGCAAAAAACAGCTGATATTTTGGATACCAAGTGACTAAAACATGGTGTCAGGTAAGGAATTTTCCACAGAAATATGTTTAAGACTAAAAAAAACTTCTCTTTAATGATTCCTGAACAACTTAATGGTAAAAAAAAAACTTAATTTAGATTTAAAAATGATAAAAAAAAATGCTGAAAAGAGTCAGTAAAAATGTTAATCTGAAAAAAAAATCTGTAAACGTGAAACCATCTCAATATATCTATAATGTATTATAAGGGGAAAGTAGAAGAGGGTTAAATAACGCTCCAAAGTTCGCCTCTCTGACTCCTCCCCTTCCTTCCTCCTCCAGGACAGTGACGAGGGAGAGGAGGACGAAGACGCGGCGCTGCAGTCCGGCAGCGAAGGCACCAGCTCGGAGCCGCGGGAGGACCACACGGACGCCTCCTCGGTGGAGGTGACCAGCAGCCGTCCTCGCCGGACCGTGACGCTGCGCCGTGCCTTCAGCGCCGGCAACGCGGCGGGCGGCAAGGAGGTCCCCTGAGGGCCGCCGGAGGTCAACCCGCTCGCTGTCCACCTACAACCAGAACAACAAGTATCAGCCCGCCAAAGGACAAGACATGCAGGTGCAGACGGAGAGGCGACGTGGTGCAACAGACCTTTTTCACAGCAGCCATTTTGACTTAAGGCTCTGTTCCATTTAGTGTATCAGAGCACTTACAGTGATTCACAACACTGAATGGAACAGAGCCTTAATCACTGGTACCACCTTGGTTTACCCTACTGTGCTGTGAAAAAGGTCTATTGAATGAATTGATGATGTAACTGACACATTGAAGTCATTTATCATTTAATAATGTTTTTTTGCTTCATACAGAGCAAATCCCATTCTTAAGGTGAATTGTTAATGATATAATAATCACAGCGCTTAAACAAGACTCATAGATTGATGAGTGTTGGTCTTTATATGTACATTATATTACATTATAATAAGATAACCCTTTTCCCACCTGACCATCAGTACCACCATGCTGGCTTGTTGGGAAGGAAGCTCCAAAGTTAGGGCTGAATTCAAAGAGATCCTTTGACCTCTGACCTCGAGATATGTCAATGAAACTGGAACTATGGATACCTCCTTTACGGACATGCCCACTTTATGCTAATCTAATGCAGTTTGTATTATTGTCACCTGTTCTTGCATTCTGGGGTCTATAAACAGTGCTGGAAGTGTATTATTGGGTATGATTGGAAAGCTCCAGTGGATCCAGTGAGGACCCAATTATATCCATGTGTGATGATGTCTGTTTAATATGTGTGTGTGTGTGTGTGTGTGTGTGTGTGTGTGTGTGTGTGTGTGTGTGTGTGTGTGTGTGTGTGTGTGTGTCAGGTGGAGGAGGAGGGTCAGCTGGTTTTGGACAGGAATCCTCTGGAGTGGAGCGTAGATGAAGTCGTTCAGTTTATCAACTCTACTGACTGTGCATCCCTGGCCAAACATCTTCCAGGAGCAGGTACACACACACACGCACACACACACACACACACACACACACACACACACACACACACTGATGTAATACATTCCTTACCATCAGAACTAAATTCCTTCACGGTAAACCTCTCCCAAACCTTATTTTCAGGTTTGTTTGTTTTTTTGAAATACTCAATTATAAATACTCATTGCTTCAAGCGGCCATTTATTTCAGGGTTCAACTTATGTTCAACAAATGTAGTACACTGAGTTAATTACCACTTCTTTATAATGTGGTATAAACACGTTTTTAACTTGTTATGGCTACTAACAAAAATGTTGTTTCAACTAGTTTTTCCACATTTTTTTATGTGATCTTAACTTATTAAAATAATAATTCTAAACTATCTAAATCAATGAATTACAACTTTTATGTTTCAACCATTTAATTGATGTAAATAAGTCTACAGAATTACTCATTTTTAGTGTTGTTTTCTGCAGTAATTATTATCATGTTTTTTATTACATTTTTGTCCAAATAATCTCAAAATGATGTTTTTACCACATCGTGCAGCTTTGATAAGCGGTAAAATGCTTTCTCTGTTTAATTCTATCTGTTTCAGGACATCGACGGTCAGGCTCTGCTGTTGCTAACTCTGCCCACCGTACAGGAGTGTATGGACCTGAAGCTCGGTCCCGCCATCAAACTGTGTCACCAGATAGAGCGCGTCAAGGTTGCCTTTTACAAACAGTATGCCAACTGAACCAGCAGCAGCTGAACAGCCCGTCAGTGGAGAGGAACGCTGGATCAGGTGCCTCCGGGTGGAAAATGTTAGCAGCGTGGAGTTTTTACCGATTTCCAACGTGCAAGAAGAAGGGATTGTTGTTTGTTGGAAAGACGACAGGATGAGTTGAAGGATTCATTTCTGGGAAACTGTCGGTGTGAAAATGTGATGCACAAAAACGTTCGCACTGCCGACTCCGGCAGAACGAAACACATCGGAGTCGATCCGTGTGCTTTACTGATCTGTGAAGAAGTTATTTTGAGAAGACATTTGTGTTTTTTTTTTTTTTCTTGCTTTTCATTTCCATTTTATTTGTGATAGAGGAGCATTATAGCATTTAAGTTAAAAATAATTATCGACCATAAAGAGATCTCCCCCTTTCTTTTGTTGTGACATGATTGGTTCTGGAAAGATATATTTGAGAAGTATTTAACAAACCAAGAAGTAATATATTTTGAATATTTATTGTTCTATTTGGATGTAGAGAAAAGTGTCACCATTAACTCCTTTTCCCCTGAAACATGTTTAAGTTATGTCTCAAATAGAAGCCGGGATCTGCATTGATTTAGATTTACACTTCAGTTTGTGTTTAAAGAGGAAAAAAACCTTCTGAAATACTTGTTACAATCACATGAAACAATCATGGAAGCTATTTTGTGTCCATCTATGCAAATGTGTTGCAAATATTTTTGATAAGTAAGGAAATAAATTTCTATTGATTTTTATGTTTGTTATGAACTTTCTTTCAGAATTCGACTGTTTATCCAGTAATACTGCAGCTAACAGACACTGAGGACTCTACTGTAACAGCATAATGAGCTCTGTTAACAAAAAAATGTTCACAACAGACACAGCTGGAGGATCACTGAAGCAAAAGTACTCTTAGAAATGTTCCCACATTACAGGAAAAAGTACTCAGATCCTTCAAAAAGTAGCAAAACCACATTGTAAAAATACTAAAGTATCAAAAGTATAAATCAATGGTCACCAAAGCTTCATGGGGGGTCACAAGGGCGTCTTCATTTTAAGCTGATTGATTGATTATACACTAATGAATGAGCTTTTTTTTACAGATGCTGTGACGTTTGCCTGTATTTAGTGGAATCCATTCTTCCATCTACCGGTGCAATGTTTCCTGTGCCACTGGCTGCAATACAAAGAGTAACAGATCCACACCAATGCTTAACTTAGCTTTTCATGAAATGCTGCTCCTTTTTCTCCAAACATACCTTTGCTAATTATGACCAATTATGACAAAGATGCTGTGTTTACTTTTCAATTTAAAAAATCACCAAAATATGTTATTTTTCAAACCTTCGCTCACGACGGTATATCTGTGTTTAGGAAGAAAATACAAACAAATAGGATTACAAATGAGTGTACGACACTGCGTGCTGTCTTTAAGAAGACTGTGTGAAAACTGGTTAATAAGGTAGCAGAGAAGTTAAAATAGATAAAACCATTCATCCATTAGCACTTAAATAAATCGTGTTCAGTTTATAATTCATTCATAAGAACAGATTAGAACATTATGGGTAGTGTTGATAAGGGAATACTTCTTCATACTGCTTTATTAAACACTAAATAATCAAATATTTTCACCCTTTTGCATCCACTAAGAAAATATAATTATTAATAATTCACTCATTTTTAGTAAAAGTTGTACCAAAGCATTCATATTCTTCTTTTTCCAGTTAAACCGACTGAATTCTGTTTAAATCATAGATGAACTATAGAAAGTGAATCAACTCTTTAATTCTTCAACAATACCTCAACTCTGGTGCTTTAATTAAAAACTCCCACAGCATCTGACACACAGACGATTATACGTTAACACATTTTCTTTTGTTTTCAGCGTTTGCACTGAAACCTTCTGTGTAACTGACAGTACTGATTCATTCGTTCGAAAAAGGAACAACAACATTTACGTGTTGCTAAACCTTTTCATGTGAATAACTCGGCGATACCGATGTAAATACACTTCTGCAGAATAGGTCTTCATATGTAAAGCCACAGGGACCGTGACGGGTTAACAGATGCTCCCTGCTGCATGGTGAGATACTGTAAAGGAAGTCGGACCTGTGGTTAACACTGAGTCACTGTTAAAGAGGAACCATGATCCTCTCTGCTGTTTCTGTCCAATCAGTGACATTATCTTCACTGTTTCTGCCTCAAAACTGACCTGACCAACTGCCTTTGAACTTTTCTGATGATTATGAAGTAGTGTGAATAATTCAGTAATAACCATTTCATTAAATGAATCATTTAAGAAGCATAAAAAAGGCATAGAAACAGTCGTATCAATATTCAGATTGTAATAATAGCCGACATGCAAAGGTTTCGGAGTAGTTGAATGTGACTGAGAGAATATGAAGTTATTATTATAGCAGTCTACAGAGTCCGAGCAGTTGGCTGAAAGCTAAAAGCAGCAGGATAAATGGTTGGAAAAGTAAGTGCGACGTTATAAATGTGTGATAAATACTTTAAATAAACGAGCTGGCTGAAAAAAGCTAAATGTGATCATGAAATACTGAAATAATGGATAATATAATAGTAGTCTATACGATTGCAGACGTGACTAAATTAACCAAAACATTCACAGTTTAACTGCATGAAAACAAATAATGTAACTAACATATCTGGTAATTACTGACTACTATATGGAAGTCAAACAAAAACCTCATTAAAAGAAAGTAATAAAAGTTGTGAAATCTTAAACAAATATAATTCTATATTCTATCACACGAGGAAGAATAATGTAAATAATGATGGGTTATGAAACTATTATTTTAAGCTTAAAAACAGCTTTGACAGACACTAATGTATTCCACAAACAGCAGGCCGTGAATTACACATGAAATGAGACACTGTGCTTCAAACAACACAATACAAAATGCCACCGAGAGTAAAAAATAGACAATGTGTGCAAACAAAAGCTGCAATTTATTTCTTTTCCTGGAAAAAAAACACAAAGGCTCAACCCGAGCTCTCAGAAAGGTCTCACACTTCCAATCCGTCATTCAAACAAGTTTATTTAGACGTTCAGTTTACTGGTGGCGAAATAAAAGCAATGACCCCGTGTCCGGTGGCGAGAGCCGTCTGTTTCTCTGTAATTGGAGGTAATGTTGTGTTAGTCATGCGTGTGGCACATGGCCCTGATATGCTGATTCACTCGCACTGCTCACTGACAAACATCAGCCAACACGAATTCATAAAGGCGGTGATTCACATTCAGAGAGAATTCAGAGCAGCGAGATGTGTCGTGCCACAGCAGCTCACACACACACACACACACACACACACACAAACTCTCTCTCTCTCTCTCTCTCTCTCTCTCTCTCTCTCACACTCACACTCACACTCACACTCACACACACACACACTTTGTATTGAGTCACTCTGAGAAGCTGCTACCTTATACTGTTGCCTGGCAACCACATATCAAACGTTGTATGTGAGTTCAGACTAAGTCATGACAGCAGAGGAGTAAACAGAGGTTTGATGTGCAGGGAAGCCCTGTGGGGGGGCAGACGGGGAGTTTATGTTTCATATTCAGGTGCTGTGGTTTTCACTGGTTTCAGTTAAAGGTGACAGATGGAACAGTTCCACGATACTGACGGGAGATCAGATTGTGCTATCAGCCGTCATGTCGTCAGACTGACTTATCAAAAGCTCATCTTTTGGTTGAGGAGCGATCCATCCAGGGTGAACTGCAGCGGGGGGGGAGAGAAAATAATGACAATATGCTTTTTATTCTCTCATCATCATCATCATCATCATCATTATGGATTATGCATAAACTTATATCACTAAAGCTCTTAAGATAAAGATACTGCTATTCCTGCCATCACCACTGAAGCGTGGCTGCACAATATCATTACAATATATATAAAATAATCTCAGGCTGCCGATTATTAGATTCATGTATCTTCAACAAACTGTGCAGTCAGTCCAAACTGCTGCTACTGATTTAATAATGTTCACATATTTACAGTTTTACAATATTTTTTGATTCCTGTATGTAAAACTGTGTTATGTAGAGGAGATGCATCACTTTCAGCGTTTATGTCTGCAGATAACAGATCATTGTTAGGGATGGATGATCATTATCGGGGCTGATAATGGGAAACTAATATTATTATGCATTATTCTGATTATTAAATTCATGGAGCCGAGCTGCTGCTAACGTTAGCTCAGCTTGTTTCTCTGATAACTTAAGATCCAGACGTCCGATGACTAAAATCCTTCATCCGGTTCAAATCTAGAGTTAAAAAGCACCAAGATCTAAACAGTGGATGGTAACAATGTGGCTTCACACTGGATCAACAGTCAATGTATGACAGCTTCTGGCAGACAACCACAACGCTGACGCAGGCACAAAGGGGATATGACGCCATCGACAGGCGACCGGTGAAACGCAGCGTTACCTGAATAAAATGACAGATTTCTGTGAGTTTGAACATTGTTGGAAACATTTGGGATAATGGAAGAACTCAACTACATATAGAACATAGAGCCAGAGCTTATACACTGTTTGATGAGGAACAGATTGGAGCTTTAAGTCTTCAGTCTTGGTATGTTGGACATTATATTAAATATATTATCTATAATAAAAACAGCATTAAAGTTTATTCTCAGTTTGTAACAAATGACAATCTATGAAATAAACATGTAAATTAATGCAACTAAGACTATTCTCTTCTAGCTTTTTCCAGAGCTTTCACACACATCCCATGGTCTTCCTCACTTCGTTCACTCGGCTGTCACGTGATGTTTCTGCTGTTTCCATCGGCTGAGGAACACAAAAAGTGGATGAAACCTCCAGTAAAAAGCTGGTAAGTTGCCCTTTATGGTCTTCTGTTTATCTTTACCCTCACAGAGTCTACAGTCACTGATTAATAATCGCTGATTTTCTAAAACAAAATGCTGCTTGAATCCAAACTAATAAAAACAAGAATGTCTCTTGAATCGAATCACAAACTACTAAATCATTTAAATAGCAGACCTCTATGGAGGCCGTGTTGACTCTTTTTGTTTGAGTGTGTGGTCTGCACGACACCATTTTCTTTTTTCTTTACTGGAAAAATATTTATATCGCTGCCTCCTCCTACATACTGAGC